AGGAATACATGCAGCAATTCATATCTGGAAAGGAGTGTATGACTGCGCTGATTTGGCATTCGCCAGATTTGAAGGTGATGTCTGCGAAGCATGTTGCTAGGCTCAAAAGTGGACATGTTTTATCACCCATGCCGCAAGTTGTGGGCCAACGTGTCTCGTCGCGCACTAAGGTTCGGCACATGGCCGCCGAATTTCTGCGTCACACTGGCATGAGAGACTTGCAGTCGGAGCATCGTCCATCTTTCTCTGCAGAAACGAGGGGCGAATTTATCCTTCTTGCGGAAGCGTTCTTGGCCACAGCTAGAGACTTAGTAGGCATCCGGCTTGCTTGAGTATGTCCCATTTCAAAGAAAAAACTGTGTTGCAAATCTAAGGATATTGCGAGTAAAGACCAACCAGAAACCCCGAAGGGTTGCTAAGAAGTTCCTGGAGAATCTCCACGGAGGTGTGCCTTCAAATGGCCATGATGGCTGACGCTGCTGATGAGGAGATCAGGATTTTACGCAGATTTGACAAGAGCCAAATGGACATGAGCGCAGCGCAAACCTAATTATTTGACAACCGTTGCTCAAAGGCTGCATGTGCTGTTCGCGCAGAAAACGGCCTTCTCCAGTGGTTACACACAGCACGCTTCTAGACAGCGCCGAGTTGCGAAGCCCGTGATAACTTTCAGAGCCCGCCCAGAGACTTAGATCTGACTGCCAGGTGCTGAAGTGGCTGGAAAAGCCTCGTCTGATTCAACTGGGCGTCGGGCACAGGAGTGTGGGAGGCAGCGTTTCGTCGATTGTTCTCAACCGGTGCTTTGCAAGGATGGCTGCGTGGCTCGCCCTTGTCTCGCAGACCATCAAGAGAGAGTCTTTTGAGTTTGAACTGACCCACAACTTGTCAGCCTTTTCGCTCAGCGGCCCCCAAAAGAGCGCTGCGGAAACGCTCCGAGATGTTCGACGTGAACTTTAAAGTTAAGCAGCTCTATGAGCAGCCCAACGCCACCGACGGGTTCTGAGTTTGTTTAACGGTGCATTCTGCTCGCTTGTCCCTTTCCAATGCTCTGCCCAGGAAAGCAGCTGTCCAAGTCGGAAGAATTGGGTGATTTGCAAGCCTAGACCTTGGCAGAGTCAAGTTTCAGCCGCCGCTGCCCGGACATGTCTAAACCACTTGCCCCTGTCTTGCTGGCATCGGCGGCTGGAACTGCGCAGAGCAAGCGTGACTTTGCAGATATCAAGTACCATACTGCACGCGACAGGGCTTTCTTAGGGCTTTACTTCAAGGCGTTCCAGAGGCGGCTTCGCCAGTGGGACAAGAACAGTCTTCGGGGTGCAGTTGCTACGCTTGCCCAAAAGATTTGGCAGGAAGGCTTCGGCTCTGAAAGATCATCTGGGTCAGCTTGCAAACCTAAGTTTGTTTCTGGTCTTCGACTAGCAGCAAGCCGGCAGGACGCTTGGCGCACGGTTTACTTTTTAACTCGCCGGAGTTCGCTTTGCGCGCCTTGCCGGCCAAGGCGCGAACAAGAAATCCTGTTTCGGAAGCCGCGTGGTTAGCTCGGCGCCGGAAGAGTGTGAAGCGATGCTTCAAGCTGAACGATGGATGCCCCACGGGACATGCTGCGGCTGAGCAACAGTTCCTGCAAGGCAGCTGGAAATGTAACTTCTGCCAAGCACGAGGAAGAAACCCAAAAGCTGTGGGAGCTGAAGAAAAGACGGCGCTTTCAAGCTCAGTAAGACGATCTGCTCCTGCGGCAAGAGCAGCTTCGTCCAGCGGAGCACAGCCAATGCTTGGAGCGTAGGAGGAAAGCTGACCACCAAGCTGAGCTCGAAAGCTCGCTGCGGAAACGCAAGCGGAGTCAGCCTGAACTTCCAGCTATGGCCAACATGCGCCTGCCGTTTGCGTTTGTTTTTGCGCCTTCGTTCTTGAAAGTTTTCTTAGGCGATTGCTCGTGAAAGAGGAGGCAGGCTCCACTGACTTGCACCAGAAACTCCACTCTTTGGGCGCCCTGGTGGTCAATGATTATCTCTTAACTGAAGGCGTTGTGGTGAACAATGTTGCAAAACCTGGCTCTCGAGCTTCATGGCTGATGCGACTCTCTGGTGGTCTTATCGTAAGCGAAGCTGCGATCAAGACTGTGTTTGGGCCTTGGGTTAAATACAAAGGGCCAGCCAAGGGCACCCGAAGGCATGTGCTGATTACGCCATCATTTCGCAAACGTCATCCGTGATTCGCTGTCTTGGCACAAACACGCGTGCAAGAGCTCAACTGGAAAGTGTACGTGCGGCCTTGGCTGGCTTTGGCACACTTGTCGTCCTGTCCGTGTCCCATTTGCCTTGTTTTGAGCGGCGCGCCCTTGGTAACAGAACTGAGGCAAGGCTGCCCACTGGGTGAACGCAGCCATGCTGCCAAATGACCCAAGAAGAAGAA